TAATGAGTACATGTGTGTAGTTTCATAATGATCCGCCCAGTAGTTCCTGAGAAAACCTCTGGACAAGTTCGTGGCTGAAGATTAAGAAGAAGAAGAAGAACACAGAATAATAATAATAATAATAATAATAATTAATAATAATAATAATAATAAGAAACGGAGTAAAAACAATAAGTCCCCAAAACTTTGTTTTGGGGGACCTAATAATGTTTATTATCCGAGTGCCCTTTAGTAATCACGGCGTCCATAAGTCTGTCTGTTTGTCTTTCTGTCTGTCTTTTCATCCATAAGAACATTAAGTTTATATTTCTTACATTTTCATAAACATAAATCATGTTTTATATACATTTTCTTCGAACCGTTACAATAATCTAGATTTATTTCTGATATTGACACATTGAAAACAATCAAAATCAAGGGGAATTAAAAAATGTATCGAAGGATTGCTTGATTGTTAACTATTAAAAAAAAGTAATAAAAGATGTTAAAAAAGCCGTCGTGGACAGGATTCGAACCTGTGCGGGCATAGCCCATTTGATTTCGAGTCAAACGCCTTAACCACTCGGCCACCACGACATTGTTAATGTGGATGTTTTATTTTCTATTTATAGATTAGACACAAAAGGACGACGTACCCAAAGCAAGTTATTGTATATAAATCTTGGGTTGTTCGTTTTGTGTCTAAAGAGAATATATTTTTTTAGTGTACATGTTATTTCGGCGAAAGTTTACACTCATCAGTTAAATTCAAATTATGGTGAACGTACACGATGCAACGTTATATAAGCTTAGTAGACCTGTTACATGTATCTATACACGATTTATATTAAAATTACAAACTTCAAGTTTATGAAAAATCGCTTTGCCTCACAACTAAACTAATAGAATTCCCTCAATGTGATACCCTGCTTTAACCAATCTGACAGTTGCTCATCACAACATGCTTAATTCACTGACATTTACTTGGTTCGATTCAGACTCTCTTAGAACTTTGTTTGAGTACGATACTACAGTAATAACTTCCGGTCTAATGACAATCTTCGCCGAACTGAAAACAAAATGCAGAGGTATTTATTTTCATCAATGCCATAGGCCTAAACGAAAGACGTGTCTACTTTTTGTATAATGTTTTCAGAAATTTAAGATGAACAGTTTGATGTGTGACCATCAAGTATGGATGAAATCAGTTGTAATAACACTGTAAACCGTAGTCTGTACTGAACCTGTACACAAGCCAGCTGGGTCTTGTTTATGCACAGTTGTTGACATTGGAAAGGAAAACAGAATCATGTAACACGTGTATTATTTAATATGCACTATAGACTATCAAGATCAGTATAAGGGCAGTAAGGCGCGATCAATCAGATGATCCTGCTTGGCTCGTGGGCTTCGTTTGGTTGACTTTTTTCATAAATCCCAATGCCAAGGAATTTCTTGGTGTTTTGATAACATATCAACTACATGGATGCTTCAGGAATCCATGTTATGTTTTTTTCTTTGTATTGTATCCCAGCTGTTTCAACAAAAAACACTGCAGTTGGACAGGGATGAGAAACAGTTGCAGTGGCGGATCCAGAGACCTATCGGGGGGGGGGTTCCATGTTGGAAAAATTGAGGAAAATGGTGAAAATATATGATTTTTAAAGAAAATTCTCAGGGTTGGGGTTCCTGAAGCCCAAAAAAACCCTTGGGATCTGCCACTGAGTTGAGTGATAAAAGATAGTAATAATCACATACATTCATATCAGATATACCCATATTTTCTTACGGAAATAATTAGTACATATCTTCAACATTATAACATATTTCCAATTCAAAAACATTAAGTTCAAAATAGCACAGAATAACTTTAGGTTTAAGACTCTCCACTAAAAAAAATGCATATAAACTTGTGGACTGGTAGGATTACATGGTTGTCTTGATGATGTTCAGCAGTCTTCCTGAAAAGCGTCTTCAACCGACAACAAACGTCTTCAAGTGACAACAAGTGTCGCCAGACAAAATCTTTAAAAATACTGAATAAAGTAAGCGACATCAGAAGATATGTTGTTAATATGACTATAATACACCTCTGTACTAAATTTCAGCTTGATTTTTGATAAAATGACTGAGTTATGATGAATTGATTTTTTTGCGATCGCGGCATGGCTCATGTGTGTATATTTGCATGTAAAGTGAAGAAAGCGTCACCAGATAATATCATTACAATTACTCGCTAAAGTAAGCGACATCAGATGATATGTTATTAGTTAGACTTTTATTGATATATACATGTATTCCAAATTTCAGCTCGATATTTGAAAAAATGATTGAGTTACGAGGAATATATAATTATTACGATAGGCGGCATGGCAGACGTGTGTAGATATACAGATATTACAGGTGAGAATGAAATGAGCATTAAAAATCATTTTCCTCATTATGCCTTCATAAGCAAGGTAACTACGTACCTTATTAAGTTAAGAATAAACAATATATATATTAAAAAACCTAAAACTGAATTAAATTTTGCTTTATATCATATGCATGTATTCAAATTAGAATGTTGTAGTTGTAGAAACTTCCCAGTAATATATAATGCATGTAGTGCTTATGACTTTTGCATTGTATTTCAATGGCATTTGCTGTAAATTCATTTCAACAATCAATATCATTAAAAAAATATTTTAGGAAAAAGTTAATAACAGGTTTTTAAGTTATGGTATATCAAAAAGTACCCATGAAGAATTCAGTGTGTATTTGTGACAGATATACTGGTGACACCTGGTCTTACTGATGATTTCACTGCTGATCTTTTTTTGCTGATTATTTCAGCAAAAGTGCAACATTTTGTATTATATATGATTATGAATAATGTCTACCAACAGCCCATATGTACATTGTATATCTGATATTCAATGTTGATTTAAATTTATTACTAATTATCATCTTTAACTTTTGATAATTCTTACAGGAATCCCATAACACCATGTAAGTGAGTAAAATTGCTGCAGAATGTTTGGTTGACGCAGGTGAGTGACAATCCAGAATGTTTGGACTACACGGGTTGACGAGGCCCCAGCGCCTCGTCCTTGGAATCGTGGTTCTACTCATTGTAGACCTTATTTGGGTTGCATCTGCAGAACTTACAGAGGTAAAAATGACTTTAAGCATGTTGACTATTGTCTAATGACTTTAGAATGTTGACGATTGTGTAATGACTTTAGAATGTTGATGATTGTCTAATGACTTTAGAATATTGATGATTGTCTGTTGACTTTAGAATGTTGATGATTGTCTAATGACTTTAGAATGTTGACTATTGTCTAATGACTTTAGAATGTTGATTATTGTCTAATGACTTTAGAATGTTGACTATTGTCTGATGACTTTAGAATGTTGCCTATTGTCTGATGACTTGAGAATGTTGACTATTGTCTGATGTCTTTAGAATGTTGATTCTTGTCTAATGACTTTAGCATGTTGATGATTGTCTGTTGGCTTTAGAATGTTGATGATTATCTGATGACTTTAGAATGCTGACTATTGTCTGATGTCTTTAGAATGTTGACTCTTGTCTGATGACTTTAGAATGTTGCCTATTGTCTGATGACTTTAGAATGTTGATGATTGTCTAATGACTTTAGAATGTTGATGATTGTCTCATGACTTTAGAATGTTGACGATTGTCAAATGACTTTAGAATGTTGATGATTATCTGATGACTTTAGAATGTTGATGATTGTATAATGACTTTAGAATGTTGATGATTATCTGATGACTTTAGAATGTTGACTATTGTCTGATGACTTGAGAATGTTGACTATTGTCTGATGACTTTAGAATGTTGATGATTGTCTAATGACTTATTTTATAGCTTTTCACATTATCTGACCCAATTGAATACAGTATTCCCAGCATGTGTTTTTAAAGGTTTATCTATTATCGCTAGATTTCAGAAAGATATTGGTTTTACACTTATATTATACTCGTACAACAACCGCCTATGAAAATGATAATTGTTTTGATTTCAGTACCTATTCAAGAGGAAGCACTTCAATAAGCCATTTTTCACAACATATTCCAAGACGAGCATGTTCGTATTATATTTAGTGGGCTTTATTGTGTGGGAGCCCTGGAGATACCAATGTAAATATGGCAATGTGGTAAGTATCTAATCTAGTGCTTCCTTATATAGGGATTGAACAGCGTTTGTTTAATTTTCATATACCGGCATGTAGATTTAAAAAACACTGTTCAATCCATATATTTACATTTGCACTATAGAACAATAGTTAAATGCTATTCATTTGTTCTTAAATAATTAGGGCCCCGTATCAGAGATACGGGTGCCCTATAGTAATCACTGTCTGTCTGTCCGTCCGTCCACAAATTTTGTTCCTGGCTGATAACTTTGGTATTTATTGACCGATGTACATGAAACCTGGTCATGATGTTCAGTTCACAAAAATACACATTGAGGTAAAAAGTCAAGGTCAAAGGTCAAGGTCATAAGGTTCAAAAATCAAGGTCAAATTTTACATCTTTTCACTGATGAACATTTTGCTATGACATTATGAAGCAAAGTTGATCAGAATAAAACAAGTAGTCAACTGACCAAAGGTCAAGGTCATCGGGTCAGGGTTCAAGGTCGAATTTTGTAGCTTTTTACTGGTGAACATTTCGCTATGACATTATGAAGCAAAGTTGTTGGGAATTGAGCAAAGAGACAGGCTGAGGTAAAAAGTTGAGGTCAAAGGTCAAGGTCATTATAATCAAAGGTCAAAGTCCAATTTTGCATGTTTTCACAGATGAACATTTTGTTATGACATGATGAAGCAAAGTAAATCAGAATTAAACAAGGAGTCAACTGACCAAACGTCCAGGTCATTTGGTCAAAGGTCAATTTTTTTTTTTTTATCTTTTCACTGGTGAAAATTTCGCTATGACACTTTGAAGCAATGTTGCTCAGAAATAAACAAGTAGTCAATTGACCAAAGGTCAAGGTCACTTGTTCAAAGGTCAAGGTTACATTTTGTACCTTTTACCTTATGAAGATTTTGTAATGACATTTTGAAGCAATGTTGTTCGGAACTTAACACAGAGTCAGCTGACCTTAGGTCCAGGTTACGGGTCCAAAGGGTCAAGGTCAAGTATTGTATTTTTCACTGATGAACATTTTGTTATGATATTAAGAAGCAATTTTATGACCCTTGGGTCGCACGTTTACCCCTGGGGAGGGGGTAAACTTTACTATAGTTTATATAGGGAAATCACATTTTGGACTGCAACAATTGTTTAATTTTCATTGGAAGTAATTCAATTGGGGTTAGCATTATCAGTATTGGATAGCAGTTTGATGGTATGCACATATGAGCCCTGACTGACCCCCCGGGCCTATTGGGTGGGGCCAAAAAGGGTCGAAATTGACTAAAATTTCAAAACAAAATCTTCTCAAAGACCCAAATATGGTAGAACCAAACACTCTTCATAGATGGAAGGGTCTAAAGGTTTATGACCCTAGGGTCTCACGATTTCCCCCTGGGGAAGGAGGGGGGGGGGGTCAAAATTTATTATGGTTTATAATGGCAAATGATACTTTGAATATTACATGTTAATAACTTGATTGGAATTATAACCCTGAGTTGACAGTTTGATACTTTGAAAATTTTGAGCCAGCCCTACCCCCAAGGGCTGTAAGTTGGGGCTCAAAGGAGTCAGTTTGCTAAAATTACTTCATTTTCCTTGTTTAGAATCAGAGGTGCTAGTTTCAAATACTTTTTAGTCTTAAATCTGTATGCTAGATATTGAATAAGGTGGTTTTATTGTTTTTTGTCACTGAATAATATTTCTATTCGTGTTAAAAACAAAGTCAACTCTCTGTACAAATATATCAGGTGACTGTTAAGGCCCATGGGCCTTTTGTTCAATTTAGTGAGCCTCTAGCAAGCTAAAATGAAAAATTTGTGGCAAGTTTTATAAATTCATATGAAATGGAAACGAGTGTAAGATCATTTTTATCACATAATCAAGATTTGTGGCATTAATTTGTTTAAAACAACTATTTTCATGCAACCTTGAAATGTAAAAAGTCTGCATTTTGACTAGTACGTAAGTCTGTGATGTCATGTACTTGTCCTAGGCATGACAACACAATTGAAACTTACAGTAAATCACAGGGCTGATAGATCATATTACATGGGTTAATACGCAAAAATATTTTGACATGGGTATATTCACTGATTAACACAGTACGTTATGTGATAAATATATATATTGTTTACAAGAACTAGCTGCTATATAGTCTCCTTCAGGAATCTCATATTGAAAATTAATAGGTACCAAGGTTAAAGTACTTTTGTATATGAATATTTTGACCAATTTGTAGACTGGATCCCCATCTATAGAATTTTAAAGTATTCTGAAAAAAAGTGAGGCTAAAAAGTTTGATCATTTGATTCAAATGTTTAAACTTGTGGAGATAGATAAGTAGAGTAATGCAACTGGAGAATTCTTAACAAAAAGCTAGGGGCAAGTTGACACTAAGGAATTTTCCAAAAGGTAGAAAAGGTATCCAAATTTCATATGAGGACTTAAAATTGAGGTTTTAATGAATTCAGTGTTTGTGTAATGCTTTGATGTAGGGCTGCAATGATATATGGTGTCAAATTGTTTTGTTTGCCTGTATGACGATACACTAACAAAACAATCAAGCTTTTATCAAACTTTATAAATAAATGTCCTTAGTTGGAATCCTTCATTAAAGATGTGATCCATTGTGCAGTCATACCCAAAAGTGCTTAAAATCATATAAAAATACATTTTGATAGTATTTCCTATTGATGTCTATAAAAAAACACGGTAAAAGCCTGCACTCGGTTATTATGAAGTTTACCTCTTTAAGCAGATATTTGCATCATGATACATATTGTACCACAATACGTATCGTGAAGTATGCACATCGTTGCAGCCCTATTTTGGTGTACTAAGTAGTAGCTTTGTCACAATTCTCCTCTTTATAGACATAGACAGTTTTTACAGCATGGCACATTGTATTTGTAAAAGACTAATTCTTGTTTACTTTTCCTAAATACAGAAAGCTAACTCTACACCGCCAGCAGACGGCAGCAGTGTGGGGAACTCGGATGCCGACACTTTGGTAAGAATAGTATGTCTTCTCTCATCCATCTGTGTACAAAACTTATCACACCTTCCTTCTCCATCAGCCATTTCAGTGAGTGAGAGTGTAGCACTGTTGGTCGTACAGTTTGTGTCTTGTGACCTAATTACTGTTAACTGATGAGCAGTGTCCTGTTAGCTCTGTCCTAATATAAAAAGTGAGTGAGAGTGCAGCACTATTGGTCGTACAGTTTGTGTCTGGTGACCCAATTACTGTTAACTGATGAGCAGTGTCATGTTCAGGACGTCTCCTGTTAGCTCTGTCCTAATATAAAAAGTGAGTGAGAGTGTAGCACTATTGGTCGTACAGTTTGTGTCTTGTGACCTAATTAATGTTAACTGATGAGCAGTGTCATGTTCAGGACGTCTCCTGTTAGCTCTGTCCTAATATAAAAAGTGAGTGAGAGTGCAGCACTATTGGTCGTACAGTTTGTGTCTTGTGACCTAATTACTGTTACCTGATGAGCAGTGTCATGTTCAGGACGCCTCCTGTTAGCTCTGTCCTAATATAAAAAGTGAGTGAGAGTGCAGCACTATTGGTCGTACAGTTTGTGTCTTGTGACCTAATTAATGTTAACTGATGAGCAGTGTCATGTTCAGAGACGTCTCCTGTTAGCTCTGTCCTTATATAAAAAGAGCAGACCAATTTCATAGTTCACCACAATTTCACTCTAAAATTACTTTCAGTTTCTATCGCTGCTTTCATGAAAACCGTTATTAGTTTGTTGAATTGTTCACAGAGCATTTACAAGTCAGGTTTAACAAGAGTCCACACAATAAGGTATACAGAACTCTGTAGAGCAGTTACAAGTCAGGTTTAACAAGAGTCCACACAATAAGGTATACAGAACTCTGTAGAGCAGTTACAGGTAAAATGAAAATACAGCTGGAAAACAAGAATGACCAGTTCAAAAAATGAAAGTAGTAAAATAGAAGGGGAAAATTGTAGACTAGTTTAGGGGCCTCTTACACCTCACACATCATGGTTTTGTTATCCAACCCTTGGGCATGAGCCCTAGCCTGACACTGTCAGGTGGGGATAACGAAAGAACACATACTGTAATATACATAAATTATAAGCTGCCATTTGCACACATACATATATGTACACTTGTATAAAAATCTAACTTATGAATGACTGATACAAATTTTCAGAGAAGTTTTATTAAATGATACATGGCACTCATAAAATACATTACAAATAAGAAATCTGAGCTTTCACATTTGACAGACAATACTTTTGTTCATTCTCAGAGTGAGCCTGTGTTTATTCCAATCAAATTTGATGACAAAGCTAGCGGGACAGAGTCTGATGACTCTGCAGCAAGTGAGTATCACAATCAATCAATTAAGAATTTTACGACAATTAAGAAACACATTTTTACAAGTTATACTAATCACTCTTGCTGGCCCTGATGTAAGCGTGCCTGATGTCTTACTGTGCGAGGAAACCGAAGTTCCCGGAGAAAACCCAGGTAGTCAGGCAGGTGACCCAATACGTTTTCACATCTTATGGGGGAATCAAACCCTGGCCGCCTTGGTGAAAGGCAAGTGCGCTATCCACTGCGCCACCCGACCACCCCTGTTATCTTGTTACTGTATATGCATGTGTATGCATTTATGCTTTAACTTGGTTTAACAATTATAAATATCAGTTTGGAGTCGAACATGTTGTTCAGATATTATCGTATCCAGAACTCAGAGCTCAAATGTGATCTTGTAACAGTAGTTAAAAGGTACTGTAATATTAGGTGAAGAATATCTTGGAATTTATCGTTTGAATAATACAGACTGAACGTGATATTCCTTCGTATCGCTGATAGTATCCACGTTGTTGCTATAATTAGTACAGACAAAAACTGAAAAGAGAAAATAGATTTTAATTATGACATTTAAAGACTATTATATTGGAAGATAATTAAGGCACGCACATCAAAGAAGTTACAGTACTTTCTTTTCATTATGAAGGTTTTCGTAGATAGAGGTTGGAAGGATTAAGTTATAAAGCATATATATTTACAAAAGGATTGGATACTGACAGACAGGGCTCCTCCGCTGGTTTACACGGTTTTGGCAATTTTGAAGCAAATTGATTTTGTTATCTTCGCTTTATGTTAAAAATGATCAAAATCAAACATGCTTTTAAGGAAAAAATTGATGAAAGAATAGAAAATATGTCTTGTGAGGGCCTATTTAGGTCACCTGAGCTTTAGCTCAAGTGACCTATTGCTATCCGACTTCGTCCGTCGTCGTCCATTTTACATTTCAAACTTAAAGTCAAGTTCTGCTGGGCCAAATGAACTGAAATTTGGTAGGAATGATCGACTCATGGTCCTGACAAAGTGTTGTTATTTTTCGGGTCGATCAGAAATCCACTTTGGCCGCCACGGCCGCCATTTTGAAAAACTATTTCAAACTTAAAGTCAATGAAGTTCTGCTAGGCCGATTGAGCTGAAACTTTGTAGGAATGATCGACTAATGGTCCTGACAAAGTGTTGTTATTTTTCAGGTCGATCAGAATTCCAATTTGGCCACCACAGCCGCCATTTTGAAAAACTATTTCAAACTTAGAGTAAAGTTCTACTTGGCCGAATGAACTGAAACTTTATAGGAATGATCGAATCATGGTCCTGACAAAGTGTTGTTATTTTTCGGGTCAATCAGAAATACAATTTGGCTGCCATGGCCGCTATTTTGTAAATACCTATTTCAAACTTAAAAACAAGTTCTAATAGGCCAATTTCACTGAAAATCGGTCTAGGAATGATCAGCTCATGGTCCTGACAAAGTTAAGTTAACATTATACTTAACTATTTTTAACTCAAATTGGTACATATTTCAACAATAAAAATAAATACTGTAGGACTCAGGTGACCGTTAAGGCCAATGGGCCTCTTGTTTTGTACACGGAGGGAACACAGGGTTCCTCAACCCGCGCCCACCTTAAAAATTTGCTGAGGAGATAAAAAGTAAACTGTCAAAAAAATAATAACTGTGATAAAAGATCATATAATATTAAAAAAAAAGCATTTATGAAATAATTGGGAAACTATGTTTATCTTATGTCATTATAACTAAAACTGTGCTATTTGTCGAAACTTCCATTTGTTACGGATTAAAAATGTAAACCAACTTTTTTCATATTAGAACCTGTAATTCAAGTGAGTACCACAGTATCAATCTGTGTAAGATTATGGAGAGAGAGCTCTAGTGTTCTGTGTAAAAGGAAGCAGTTTAGAGGGTATGTTCTGTGTACAGAACATTTTGAGTTAGAGGGTATGTTCTGTGTACAGAATATTTTGGTTTAGAGGGTATGTTCTGTGTACAGAATATTTTGGTTTAGAGGGTATGTTCTGTATACAGAATGTTTTGGTTTAGAGGGCATGTTCTGTGTACAGAATATTTTGGTTTAGATGGTATGTTCTGTGTACAGAATATTTTGGTTAAGATGGTAAGTTCTGTGTGTGAAGTATTTTGGTTTAGATGGTATGCATCTGTGTATGAAATATTTTGGTTTAGAGAGTAATATTGCGGGTTAATGGGTACATTCTATATGTGATGGAAATCAAGGTCTCTAATTAACAATGTACCTGTGTTTAAATACTACAGTGTATTGATGAATCTGAAGTTATCTCCCCTGACTGCTTTTTATATATTGTATTTTCAGATCACACTCTCAACAGATCAGTGAGATTTAGCAAAGTGTCTGAAGTCCGCCAACTTTCAGGTGTGTAATTATAAGCAACTCATCCTGCCTGCCGGAAATTACTTACGATTTTTGATTTGGGAATATAACAGTCATACTTTGCTAATGTCATTGTTACCATGAAACTCACAGAGGTAAAAAACAGATATTTAATATTTCCATTTTCTGAAATAGTTTTCTAGAGAATTTGAAGTGCCATGTGATTTTACTCACAATTCAGATTTTTTTTATATATCTTTGTCAGTTACACCAAAATTGTGATTGGGTATTTGCCTGAAATGGTCCTTAGACTGTATTGCTGTACATGTGGGTTTTTTTTTAACAGAGACATATGCAGAGGAGGCTGTCATCGCTCGCCTGTCATATTCCGCCTCCCTGCGGGCAGAGGAGGCAAGACTGAGAGCCATGAGTAAACTCACTATAAAACAGGTGGCAAAAATGGCATTCCTCTTTTGTTTGATGGTGAGTGGTTAATGACATACGTGTAGTTAATATGTATATATATATATTTATGACATACGTGTAGTTAATATGTATATATATTTATGACATACGTGTTGTTAATATGTATTTATTTACATTCGCTCACATTGTAAACCGTGACTGCGTATACATTACCGTATACGCAGTGAGATTCCTTGGAGACCATTGTTTCCTATTGATGACGTAATTTACATTGTGACGTCATAATGGTAACGTTGGAGATCCATTGCTGCTCCCAGGCTGTAGTCTTTTCATTTGATCGGATTTACGCACGTTACGGAGGCTTTGTACCAATATAAAAGCGAATGTATTAGAGTTATCTTTATTCTGAGTGTACCATCATAGTTCGAAAATATGTAAATATAAGAGTTGATCTTCAGTTTGACTGCGTATACAGTGGTATGAACGCCGTCAAAATGAAGGTCAATCCTTAAATATATATATTTATGAAAACGGTTTGCTGTGAGCTTTTTGTGTACATTTTAGGAACTTCACAAAGAAAAATGAAATAACCAAATATAAGTTTTTTGAAGGCATAACATTAATATGACAATGATTTTTTCAAATACAAATGTCATGTATGTAAAATGTAAATTTGCCTACCATCCTGATTCTATATCGGTTCTTTGGTTACCATGATAACTTCCTGTTTAACAGTGGTTCTTTGATCACTATGCTAACTATTCCTGTTTAACAGTGGTTCTTTGGTTACCATGATTACTATTCATGTTTAACAGTGGTTCTTTGGTAACCATGATTACTATTCCTGTTTAACAGTGGTTCTTTGGTAACCATGATTACTATTCCTGTTTAACAGTGGATCTTTGGTTACCATGATTACTATTCCTGTTTAACAGTGGTTCTTTGGTTACCATGACTACTATTCCTGTTTAACAGTCTGTTCTTTGGTTACCATGATTACTATTCCTGTTTAACAGTGGTTCTAAGATTACCATGATTACTATACTATTCCTGTTTAACAGTGGTTGTTTGGTTACCATGATAACTTTCTGTTTAACAGTGGTTCTTTGGTTACCATGATTACTATTCCTGTTTAACAGTGGTTATTTGGTTATCATGATTACTATTCCTGTTAACAGTGGTTATTTGGTTACCATGATTGCTATTCCTGTTTAACAGTGGTTATTTGGTTACCATGATTACTATTCCTGTTTAACAGTGGTTCTTTGGTTACCATGATTGCTATTCCTGTTTAACAGTGGTTCTTTGGTTACCATGCCGATTGAATTTGGCCTTGCTTTTACAGTGGTTCTTTGGTAACTATGCCTACCAGCTTGCGTTGTTGGATACAGAGGCAGGAGTGGTGAATGTCCTGTCATCCACTTCTGGTCTCTTTACTCTTGTGTGTGCAGCCATCTACCCAAGCTCAGGGGCTGACCGATTTACCTTGTCCAAACTAGTGACAGTACTCATTAGGTAAGTGACCATAACTCAATCTGAACATTTGACTTTCAAGAAAAGAAATGGACCTTTATACAAATGCCAAATGAGTCGGGAGTGAGGAAACTTAATAGTGGTCGTAGGAGAAATATATTTAGCATATCTTCTTTTCCAAGTTAGCATTTGGTGCCAATTTTAGACAGTCATTGTTTATGTCAAGATCCCTGTTTTGAAAAACCTATACAAAACATGTCACAAATTAAGCATATCCCCTTGACTACGGACTCTGAGCTATGAGAGGGTGATACCAGAAACACTATTTAGGATCCGTATAAAAATTACTGATATATCTTGAAAACTTTGAGATGAAGATTATCAACTTTTCCTCTGAATATATAGGATCTTACATAAGTTTCCATTTCATATGAGATTTATGAAACGCATCAAGATTTTTTTCATTTTTAGCTCGCCTCCTTTTTATCACATAATATAATCAAGATTTATGGTATTTATTTGTGTAAAACAAAAAAATTCAGGCAGCCTTGAAATGTAAAAAGCCGCCATTTTGACTACAGTGTGTAAGTCTGTGACGTCATGCACTTGTCCTAGGGGTGACATCAAAAATAAATTCTGTCAAAAACCTCCCTTTTATAAAATTGTATTGATTAATGTTTATGCTAATGTATATATATGTACAAATGTACTGTAATGCACTTTATAGTGGCTTATGTTATATTACATACAATTGGGTTAATACGCAAAATAATATGACATGGGTATATTCACTGGATAGCACGGTACATTATGTTATAGATATATTCAAGAGATAATTATGTCACCACCATAGTCTTCTCTTCTGATTGCAATTAACTGTAGACCCCTTTTTTATCACCAAAAAGAGTCGGTTTGGCTGCCCCTAAAACAAATGGTTAGGAACATTACTATTTCTGATTTTCACATTTCTGTATTTCAGTATCGGTGGGATCGTGATGGTGTGTTTATCGGACAAGGAGCTTGACACGAACATACCGGTGGGTGCCCTCTGGGCACTTTGTGGAGCCATGCTGTACGCGCTCTATCTTGTTTCCCTACGACGTCGTGTCGATCATGAGGATAAACTCGACATTCCAATGTTTTTTGGTAAATTTCAATACACTATCATAATGAATCTTAAAAAGTAACCAATGGTCAGAGTATCTTATAGTTGTTCTAATGATCCTACGTTTCTTTTAGATTTGTTATACAGTGCAATGTTTGTAGGAGTATGCTTATAGTAACCATTTTGTACTATATATGTGATCAATCTGAAAAGGTCCTAAATGTACCCATGTTTGCTTGTAAATTATATTCTAATACATAATTACATAATTCTTTTTTTTTTTGATTTGACACTTTTTTATTTTCCTTTTTGCATAATATAATGACAATGACAACACAATTTTACAATGGAGTACATCAATGCGAGAGAATTTTTCAATTTGATCATATATTTGTTAAACTCAGATTCTGCATTGAAGAGCAGAGATATACTTTTGTTCGATTACATATGCTGCTGTATCTGTTACAACTGGAGTACCAATACATACCTATTGCAAAAAGAATTTTTTTTAATTTTATACACATAACATATAACTTTCATGAATCCATTCCCTCATATACAAAATGCTTAATATCGCTATAGCATGTCTATAAGGCAATTAAGTTAGATTATTTGTTTTCAAACTTGTTGTAATCCATATTCTTTTTGTGAATTACCTGTTCTTTCCTAATGTAGTCTTCCAGGTCTCTGTTAAAGTAAGCAATATTGGGTCTACTAGTTTTTAATTTTTGTTTATAAATGTGGTGCTTAGCAATCAGCAAAATACTGTTTAGAGCATTAATATCCTGTTTATGTGTTGCTTTTCCAAATATGACATCATTATTGTTCAGTTCTATGATTTTATTGGTTTTTGTGTACAGCCATTGCTTGAAATCATTCCAGAAACTAGCGACTTCTCTACATTCATAAAATAAATGTATTATTGTTTCTATGCTATAGTTACATAATTCTTAACCATCACACTATCTTATACGTTGATACCATATATTGTGTAATTTTGTCATACTTTCATTGGTCATTTTACTGACCTTATCATGAACTGCCTTTTAAACATTTATAATGGTTTGTTTATAAATTGATTTGATCCCCTCATAATTCACAATCTATATTTTACTACATTTACAAAATAAATACCAAATTTATTTTTAAATTGCCCTTTTTAACTCAATAAAACACCTTTTATAAATTATGTTTGAGTTATTAAAGGGAGTGATTTAAAAACAGGAATTTGTTAACGATTTCTTTATCTTCCAGAAGATTCATGAGTTTGAAAATATGTAATATCAAAGTTTTACTTTATACACAAACATTGTTCTTATTAAATGTGTCACGATGTTTGAAGACTGACTGATCCCTTTATGTTAGTAATGTGTTGAAATAAAGGAATTTGTCACAATTATGAAATTTTTCATACATTTTTGTTTTCATTTTTTAACTCGAACACCTTTATTTTTGAAAATTAAAGTTTTTTTCTATTGAGTTTTTTTAGCTCAATATAAAAATCTAACAGCAGAATTTCTTTTGCAATTTCTCTGTGTTTGTTTCAGGGTTTGTGGGTCTGTTCTGTATGCTGCTTCTCTGGCCAGGGTTCTTCATGTTACACTTCAGTGGATCGGAGGACTTCGAGTGGCCCAACGGGGAGCAGTGGTTGTATATAGTTTTAAATGGCATAATTGGGACTGTGCTTTCTGAGTTTTTATGGTTATGGTAAGTTCTATAGAGATCTTCTGATACTGTATCTAGATTTTATCTCTTTGTTAAAGCGCCTGTTTGGTTTCTGCTGTACAATATGTGTGGCCACTAGTTATCTCCCTTGTGACAAACATTCAAATGGTTGAATCTGTTGGACCAGACTTTTTTGTTTATGAATTAAGGTCTGACTTAGTAATCTGATGATGCTTTTAGATGAGCCTTGAAAAGGCCTTTCAAGGCCTTCATAAACATTTGCAAGTCCGCCAAGGTTTATATCTGAAAATGCTACATTTAAAAACAGACAAATCCTATACTCAAAAAGGCCTAGGAAAAGGCTGGCTCGTTTTTGTAGACAAACTGGTTTGTCTATTTTCAAATGTGAAATTTCAAGAATTAAGTTTAATGAACCTGCAAATGTCACTGAAGGCCTTGAAAGGCACTGCCAAGGCATACCAGAAAATGACTAGGCCCATCCCTATTTCACAAACAGACAACTTAGATCCAATCGTTCTAACCATTTGGAACATGATTACAATTTCTGTTTGTAAAAAAGTCTCCAAAACAGTGCATTTTAAGCTGTGCCTATTAGATCCGCACACTTCAGATCCAAGTGTGTTTGTATGGGACTTTGTTTGTGTCACCTGATACTTTTCAACCAGAATACACTAAAGCAGCCTAGATGTGATCACCACTGGTTATTTTGTTATGGGGCACACCCTTAGATATCGCCACAAGTCCTCTCCCTTTGCATACATGTACAATATTAATTTTAGATGTCACTGCTTAGTGTTCCTAATCTGATGGTTGAATTCAGATGCCAATAATAGATTTAATATTTTATTTTAGTTGATTAGAACAACTGGTTATTGAGTAAACCAGAGAAGTATGTAAATATTACATATTATATAACATTGTCAATGTTCCGTAATGTTGTGTATTTCAGGGGCTGTTTTTTAACATCATCATTGATTGGTACTTTATCCCTAAGTCTCACAATACCACTCACCATGATGGCTGATATTGTTATAAAAGGGGTATGTATAATAACAAAATCTGGCAGTCACTTTTTATCCCCCACTCAACGAGTTGTAGAGGGATATAGAAATGGGGTCTGTCGGTCCGTGCGTCTGTCCATGCACCTGGTTAAGAAGAATTGCTCTCCCCTATATCTTGCCTACTTCGAGTGCTATGTTGATTATACTAACATCAATTGTGTATCTAGGGTTGCTCTACTGAATGCATAATACAGACTGATGCTGATTTTGACCTATATTTTTATGCTTCAGTGAAGAAGAATTGCTCTCATATTCATGCAAGTTTAAGAAGAATGGCTCTCCCCTTTATCTTGCCTACTACAGGTGCTATGTTGATTATACTAGCATCAATTGTGTATCTAGGGTTGCTCTACTGAATGCATGCATATATATTGGGGATGTTGATTTTGACCTATATTTTTATGCTTCATTAATTTGGTTAAGAAGAATTGCTCTCATCTATATGTAAGATTAAGGAGAATTGCTCTCATCTTTATGTAAGATTAAGGAGAATCGCTCTCATCTATATGTAAGATTAAGGAGAATCGCTCTCATCTATATCTTGCCTACTACACATAATGCATAGATTATACTTCCATGCATTATCACTCTACAGAGTTGGTTAAAAAGTACTTGTTGTCTTATATCTTGTTTTTAATGACTTTTGCACTGCGAGCGGGGGATATCGATGACTGTAGTGTCCTCTTGTTTATTTTCAAGAATGTAAATCTAACTAACCATGTCAGTTTTCATACAGTAGTATAATGCATCCATTTCAGACATAAGAGTCACTTTAGAAAATATGTTCTTTTGTATCATTCTTGCAAAGTATTTGTAATATTGATTTTTATAAAAGGGAAAAAATGTATACTCCATTGAAATATACAGCAAACCCTGGCTATGTCGCCACAATTTTTAGCAAAGGGTTCGGCAATATTAAATGAAATGTTAGAAAACAAGGAAAACGTGACCTTGAAATAAGTTCAACTAGGCATTAGCAAGCTGCCGATTAAAATAAGGGGTATTATATTGAGGTTCTAGTGTAATTGATTATAATACAAGTTTCAAAACTTGGCGTTTTTTACCATCCTATTACTTAAAAGACTTTTATTGATTCCAAGCTAAGTTCGATTCCACAGGTAGATCAATTACATTCTATACATACATCGTTTTACATTCCTTAGTTGCTAAAATATCATTAAACTAAAAGCTAACCCATTTGTGTTAATTGTTTACAGGTTAATTACACGTGGATGTTCCATGTTGGTACGATACCTGTTTTTGTGGCCTTCTTTGGCGTGACTTTCTTAACACATTACGAAAACTGGGATCCTGTGTTGATAGGATGTAGGAAACTTTTACACTGTATCTGTCGACGACGACCTGTTTTACCAAGGTAAGGCCTGAATAGATTTTTATCGTAATTGTTTTTATCACTGTATACCAGGAACTTTTCTCTGCATTTTGACTCTCATTCACCCCTCAAGACACATTTGAACTCTTCAAATTCAACGGTTGAAATAGTTCATTATGAAATTCAGGGGTGAATGAGCTAATTTATTTTTTCTTCGTCGGCCGTAATAAGGGCGAATTTATTTTTGCAACAAATGATAGTAACAACATATCAATGAAATTTGAAGGGTGAAATAAGCACTGGGCGAATATGGATTCTTCTGGTGAAGGGCAAAAGTTTTACTGGGCAACATTTCCCGGTATACAGTAGATTGGAAAGTTGTTTGTGGTATTGACTGAAGTCAAAAAGTTCAGGAATAATTTTACGTGAGTTCTCACACATTGCTTCAGGTTTAGAAATCAACTGTTTAAAATCTTAAATAAGATTTATGATCCAGCAGGTTGGTTCCTATTATTTTAGTGAAAACACTTAATTAATCCTGAATCAAACTTAAATCGTAATTCAAAGGAGAAACCATTGAATATATGTTGTACGCTCTTGGTACCACATAAATTGCATTGAGTTTTGGATTGCAGAGAGTCTTCTTTTCATTTTTGTCTCGCCACCATGAAGTGGAAGTGAGACTAAAGGTTGCTTTTCCAGCGATGGCATCAACATTAATGTTTTGCGTTTAAGCTAGTTTCACTGAAAGTATAAGTGCTAGACCAACCAAACTTGGACCATACATGCAGTAGTACATCTCATCCCATGCATCAAGTGCTGGATGACGCCTACCTTTCATGGTCCATTGACTTTGTCAGCATCGCCATCAACATATTTTTTTTGCGTTTAAGTTAGTTTCTCTGATATGTGCATTGATGTCAAAGCAGGCCATAGGTGAGACATATCAATCTGAATGGCTTGTTGTATGAAAACCAAATTGAACAAGTAATAATTGTAATGGGGGACTGCTACAAATGTTCCCCGAACTGCCCCCACATGTAAAGTCGCAAAGATGCATCAGAAAAGGTTTGCAGAGCCTTAATACAACGACAATATATACGTACTAAATTTTAGTGAAATCAAATAATTTCTCAATTGTGATTAATCAGAAGCCTCAGTGTTATTGCTATGGCAATGAAAACCTATGCGATTGAATTTGCGGTCCCCTAATACCCCTATATACATACCAATTTTTATCAAATAAAAAAGCATGTGAATTTCGACCAATCAGAGGCCAGGAATTGGTGGCCAGTGGAATCACTGCAGTTGTTTTCGTAGTGCCATATTACACCTTTATACCAAATTTCATCAAAATCTGACAATATTTAATTTTTTACCGAACAGAGTGAAAAAACGGCGGCCATTTTGTTCAAATGTGAAATCTATGCTACAGAATTGTGTACTTAACTTGATCAAAATTGGACAATATTTAAATTTTAAGGCAGAAGAAGAAGGAGAATAAGAATAAGTAAGAAACGGAATAATAACAATAATTTAAGTCTCCCCAAATTTGTTCGGGTGACTTAATAATAAAAGAAATGCTAACAATAATAAGAAACGGAGCAAAAACAATATGTCCCAAAACTTTTGACATATCTTATGATCTCCAATGCAAAATAATCCAGCTTTAATTCACATACAAATTATTGCAGTGAAAGTCTATCATCCAGGCTCCGGTAAACCATTTTATCAACTATCTAGATGCTAAAATATATATTCAGGTTATTTAATAGAATTATCAACTGTTTAGATGCTTATATTCAGGTTTTAACCAGAGTTAGAGATGTTTTATGCTAGGGCTATTCCAGTTTACAGACAGCCTTAACTTAGGTTAGCAATATATAGAATTTATATGCATGGAGTGAAATGGAGAAAACAAAATGTAGAAAAACCGTTCTATCCCATATGTGGTTGTGAGGAAATCACTTCTGTCCGAGGTCCATTCTTCAAATTTATCTAAGATCTGTCCATTATGATTAACTAGCTTATAATGTAAATGGTCACCATCTTCCCATGGCCCTGGCTGCCACAAATATATCTTATAAAAAATGTTAATAACATGTAAATATTATGAAATGTTCAGTAACTGTTCCAGATGAATTTTCAAAAACCAACGTGGTTGAATTTGAAACTGATTGTACAAAGGAATTTCAACAATAGCATTTACCTGACAGGTACATTTTACTCCAATGGCTTCCTCTATACTCCAGGACTAATGCTCACTTACGCTTCCTTTACACCTAGAATATGTCATAGCCAATCTGATTAAAATCATCTGTTACATGGCTCTGCCTGAACAGCAAAGACATGTAGCAGATGATTTTAGTCAGATTGATGGCATAGCAAAATTGAAGGCAGCGATAGCTATTCGGTTGGTCTCAGGTAAGTAAAACTGACTAATTGCTAGGCGCACACCTGTCCGTTGAAGATTTCAGAGGGGCGACATCCAACTTCATAGCCAGTAAATTTTACTCTTACACTGCTGTGAGATTCTTTTGATGTACATCAAACGATCAAATTAGTCTTTTTGTCTCATCCACAAGGCCACTAACAATGAGCCTTCAATTTCGTAATGACATATTCCTCGGGTGCAGAGAGTGTAAGTGAGTGTAACTTGATAGGTATCGAGGGTGCAGAGAGTTTATGTGAGTGTAACTCGAGAGGTATCGAGGGTGCAGAGAGTTTATGTGAGTGTAACTCGAGAGATATCGAGGGTGCAGAGAGGTTATGTGAGTGTAACTCGAGAGATATCGAGGGTGCAGAGAGTTTATGTGAGTGTAACTCGATAGGTATCGAGGGTGCAGAGAGTGTAAGTGAGTAACTCGAGAGGTATCGAGGGTGCAGAGAATGTAAGTGAGTGTAACTCGAGAGATATCGAGAGTGTAAGTGAGTGTAACTCGATAGGTATCGAGGGTGCAGAGAGTGTAAGTGAGTGTAACTCGAGAGGTATCGAGGGTGCAGAGAGTGTAAGTGAGTGTAACTCGAGAGGTATCGAGGGTGCAGAGAATGTAAGTGAGTGTAACTCGAGAGATATCGAGGGTGCAGAGAGTGTAAGTGAGTGTAACTCGAGAGGTATCGAGGGTGCAGAGAGTGTAAGTGAGTGTAACTCGAGAGGTATCGAGGGTGCAGAGAATGTAAGTGAGTGTAACTCGAGAGGTATCGAGGGTGCAGAGAGTGTAAGTGAGTGTAACTCGAGAGGTATCGAGGGTGCAGAGAATGTAAGTGAGTGTAACTCGAGAGGTATCGAGGGTGCAGAGAGTGTAAGTGAGTGTAACTCGAGAGGTATCGAGGGTGCAGAGAATGTAAGTGAGTGTAACTCGAGAGGTATCGAGGGTGCAGAGAGTGTAAGTGAGTGTAACTCGAGAGGTATCGAGGGTGCAGAGAATGTAAGTGAGTGTAACTCGAGAGATATCGAGGGTGCAGAGAGTGTAAGTGAGTGTAACTCGAGAGGTATCGAGGGTGCAGAGAATGTAAGTGAGTGTAACTCAAGAGATATCGAGGGTGCAGAGAGTGTAAGTAAGTGTAACTCGAGAGGTATCGAAGGTGCAGAGAATGTAAGTGAGTGTAACTCGAGAGGTATCGAGGATGCTCCACTAGTCACTGAATGTGTTGTAAACTGAGTTTCAACTTTTCATTTTACAGAGTACGAGATATGGATCGGGAACAAACAGAAAGCCTCATAGATGTCGCAGGTACTCACCAGTGACGTTGTCTACTCTCAGGACTCGGCAGTATCAAGCTTATCTACCTAATGACATGAGAAGCCAAATGTTCAAATTAATGTTTATTAAACAAGTGCTGATAGAGTATTTTTGTGTATGTCATACGGAGGTGATCATTTTTAATCCTTGAACATGCCTGTCTTGTTCTTAGTTTTAAAGATTATATAATTACCAGTCAATCACATCTTACCTTTATGTGTCATTAAGCTTTAGGTTCCCCGTACCACTGTGACAAGGAATCAGAAACACGTTACCTACTTAAATAAACAACAGTGTTATGAGGGTCAAAAAGCAGTGGAACCAGGCGGCAAAAACACTGGCCATTTGTCATAATACAATCACTTTAACTAACTTAGCTACAGGTGCCAGGTCTTTATTAGGTGCAGCTTTAATGCAGCTATTCCGTCTATTGCGATAACTGAAACACATAATTTTATTTTTGGTCTGACTCTATAGTCTATAGTCTATAGTACCAATGATAACTGTATACGTGTGACAAAATCTACCAGTATTTAACCCTTACACCACTGTAGACTATAATGGACTCATCCAGATCAATGCATGGTAGAGTCGACTAAAGTTACATAGGAGTGGACAGGTTACTATAACTATAAATGGTAACAAACTTTTCATTGATTCATATATTAAATTAGATTTAAAGTATGTATATTTTACTTAACATGTTATGTATACCATAGGTTTCTGCCTCCATAAAGTCAGAGGTGGAGGTTTCCTTACACTCTGTCTGTTTAACTCATTCACCTCTGAAATTTCATAATGAACTATTCCAACCTTTGATTTGGAAGAGTTCAAAAGTGTCTTCAGGGGTGAATGAGTTGAGGAAATTTTGTGAGAACTCTTTTTTCAAAGGAGGGGTGGGGGGTGGGGGGGGTATTGATACATATTCCAAATGGAAAATCTATGAAGAATTTTTTACAAATTAAATAGCATTTGTATACCTAAAAATTAACTACTTGGTAAGTACGAGGAGAAATTCTTCAAATTATTCATACGGGAGAATTACAAGGGGGTTTCATTAGCTTGAAGAAGGAGACTTGACAGCTATGATATTGCAAAAAAAATAACATGCATCAGATACAATCAGGGAAGAATGAAAAAATGTGGTATACACAACAGATTGATGTATTAGATACAAACTTCAGACGATCACTAAATACTGAGGCTGTGCATACATTTATCCATTGTTTATTATAAATGTATTTGTTTGTGTGGAAAAGGCATTAGCAGTAGTTGGACATTTGTTAATTGAAGGTATAACCTGTTATTTCTTGGCATATGTAATATAAGTATAAACTGCATGGTTGCTGGTATACTCTGGATATTATACTGTATTTACATTTAAAGGAATATTTGTAAAAAGAAATAGCGACAGACAAAATGAAAGTGTAATGAAAGTGTGTTGTGATGATGATGTATGCTGTCACCGGAAACGGAGATAAATCCTGATATGGTATTTATAAGTTGACAAATTGTCAGCACAGCAACATGAAAAATTAAATAGCATTCCATTTGATAACTTCTCTCTGATTTTCATTACTTAGTTCATGTTGTATTTTTGCATGAATTAAAATTGACTAAATAAGTACTGAGAGTATGATTGGTCTATCAGACACATATTACAGTATACCAGGATATTTATTCACTTTCACCTTTTTCACCCAACACAATAAGGGTGAAATTATAATGACAGTAAAATCTAGTACAAAACATACCATAAACCGGTGTATAGGTAAATGTCTGTGTGACTTACATGCACACTTATAGTGTGGCAAGTTTTTGTCAAATTAAATGATAGTTTTATCACGATTTTAAGTGAATTTCATACTTCTGTCTTACGATTCAGACCTTTTTAATTTAAGTTTGAGATACAGTATTGAAAGATTTTATAATATTTTTTCTTTGAAAAATAACCACAATATTTTCTATTGTTCTAACAGTGAAGTATGCTGGAAATCCGTCTTTAACAAAAGGGTTTTACATTGCTCAATAAACGTTAGTTATATTTACCAAAAATTTCAGAAAACTGATTTAATATTGTATCAATATAATATTATTGACTGTAACTTGCTCATAATGGTTTGATATAACAATTTTAACAAAACAAATTACAATTGCCCATGATAGAACACGATAAACATTTATCAAATTGACTATACATGCTACTGCATCACAGGAAGTTTTTGTTGTATGTACTAAGTTTACTGTTTTCACTGTGGAGACACATCAATGTAGGCACATGTTGACAGATGTTCTCATGTACAGCCTAAGATAAGGGGGTATCAATGAAATAGTTTGTAAAAACAAAAAAGTGAAATGATTTTCATTTCGTATTATTGAGTCCATTAAAACCTGGTTATACTGCCACCATTGGGTAGGAGAAATTTTGGCATTATAAAAGGCTTTTGCAATAAATTGAGGGAAACATGTAAAATAATTCTTAAGGAAACGAAAAAAAGGGCCCTTGAAACATGTTGGCAGTAAACAAGGTGGCAAATGAAAAGAGGGGCATTATATCAAGGTTTAACTGTATTTCTGTTGTAACCACTATTTCCACAGTCTGAAGAAGTAGGATGATCTCGTATAAAACATGACATCACTCTTAAATGACTATAGAGCTTGAAAATCAGATTGTGTCTGAAAATAAAGTGTTGGTTGTTTCAATTGTATGGTTGATGATTCAATATTGGTTGTTATATAGAAATCTTAATTAACCCTTTCACCACTATAGACCATAATGGATTCATCCAGATTAATGCATGGTAGAGTCTACTGAAGTTGTATAGGGGTGAAAGGGTAATTTATAATGTTTGTTACATAGAAATCTTTGATTAACAGTTACATTAGTATATTTTGATCACGTGATAATGTTTCATTTTCTTTGTGAATTACCTGCTGGTGCTGTGCTGATTGATGATTATGTAATTATTTCAATCAAGTTTTGACGAAACTAGTCTGTAAGCATTTTCATACATAATACAAGGATAGTTGAACTTTGATTTTACAAGCAGATATTTCAAATATTGATTTTCAGTCCCGTGGTACTTAATATATTATGTATTTTATTATCAGAAACTCTGTTGACGTATCTTTTCATGCTCTGAGGACTTAAACGAGCTTAGAAGTATACAAATGATTGTGATATATGTATAATGATGTGATTTTTTTTCATTTAAAACTCTGAACAATCTGACTTGGAATTTCCAGTTCATTGTATTTTATGGTAAATATATACTGATATAGAATTCCATGCATAAACTAAACTTAAGAATTCATCCTAATTAAGCCGACTCTAATAAGAATATGATTTTAAAGAAGAAATATTTGCTTTAACTCATTAACCCCTGAAATTTCATAATGAACTATTCCAACCTTTGAATTGGAAGAGTTCAAATGTGTATTCAGGGGTGAATGAGTTAAAAAAAACCATATTACTATTTACATGTAGTTACTCAACAGAACATGACTATAAATTGATGACATTGCTGAACCTAAAGGAATAAGTACATACACAGATGTACTTGAGGGATTGATTGAGATTATTTTGTATGAAAGAGATTTATCCCTGTTTGGGTGTCTGGGTAGGGTTAGATATTGATATTGACCAGAAAATTATGTTTTTTTCTGACATGTGTAATATGTAGTTTCAATTGGTATAGCATCCACAAGTAAATGATGTTATGTTGTTTAAATCAAAATTCTTAAAAGATGAAAATATTTAAAAATCTAGTCCTTTTGAACTTTAATACCTATATATATGTAATTTAGCCTATTTATCACAAGCACTGTTCAGTTTTAAGTTATACATTGTGTATAACTTCAAAACAAGTAGACTGGCATGGTTTTTGAGATCCTCCTTTCTGCTTGGTCAAATAATGATGATGTAAAAATCAATGTGCACTTCTACTCCTTCTTCAAAAAACAATCAATAGCAGTATACAAATAGTTATTTGTTTGTAAATGAAATAAAATAATGAATGAGATGTTTTTTAGTTTTATCTCATAGCGAAAGAAATTTTAAATAATGATTTGCATAAACAGATACTTGAATCTATAACAAAGTGCATACAATTTCATTAGTTATATCTACAGCAAACATCAGGTAGAAAACAATTGTCATCTGTTAAATATAGATGTAGGTATCATGAAATTGCGATCGCCTTTTGTCCGGTGTCGTCCGGCGTGTCGTCCGGCGTGCGTCCGTAATTTTTTTACATTTTTGACTTTTTCTCCAAAACCCCTGAACCAATTTCAATGAAATTTTGCAGAAACCTTCCATGGCCAAAGGTCAACCTGATTTGGTCCCCAACCCCAAGGGGCCTGGCCAAAAAGGGTCAAATTGACTGAAATTTCAAAAAATCTTCTTCTCAAGACCCAGATATGGTAGAATCAAATACTCTTCATAGATGGAAGGGTCTTGAGGTGCTTTACCAAAATTGTGAATTTCTTGACCTTGGGGTCGCACGTTTCTCCCTGGGGAGGGGGTAAACTTTACTACAGTTTATATAGGGAAATCACATTTTGGACCAACATTTGTTTAATTTCCATTGGAAGTAATTCAGTTTAGGTTAGCATTATCAGTATTAGGTAGCAGTTTGATAGTATGCACATATGAGCTCTGACTGACCCCCAGGGGCTGATGGGTGGGGCCAAAAAGGGTTGAATTGACTGAAATTTCAAAAATCTTTTTCTCAAGACCCAGATATGGTAGAATCAAATACTCTTCATAGATGGAAGGGTCTTAAGGTTTATGACCCTAGGGTCTCACGTTTACCCCTCTTCGGAAGGAGGGTGGGGGAGGGGAACATTTATTATGGTTTATAATGGCAAATGATACTTTGAATATTATGTGTTAATAACTTGATTGGAACTATAACCCTGAGTTGACAGTTTGATACTTTGAAAATTTTGAGCCAGCCCTACCCCCAAGGGCTGTAGGGTGGGGCCCAAAGAAGTCAGTGTGCTAAAATTTCTTCATTTTCCTTGTTTAGAGTCAGAGCTAGGTGCTAGTTTCAAATACTTTTCATTTCAGTCTTAAATCTGTATGCTAGATATTGAATGAGGTGGATTTATTGTTTTTTGTCACTGTGAATAATATTTCTGTTCATGTTAAAAACAAAATCAACTCTCTGTATAAATATATCAGGTGACCGTAAAGGCCCATGGGCCTCTTGTTTATTTTTTGTAGATATTTTTTTTACGATGATGTGTTTCTATAGTGTTATACACAGCTGAAGGAGTAGATGCTTTCCTTTGGTCAAAGAATGATGCAACAGTGTTTGAACATCATGATGAAAATGAAGATATAACAATTCTCAGAGATATCATCCCTGTCAGAAACTGTAATCATACAGTACGGAGCTGTACTGCCATAACTAACGTCCAGGCCCCTGTTGCTCAATGGTAGGTAAACCAGTGGTTAGTGAACAATTTTAAATTGTTTTGCCACTAAATAATAAAGGCTTTCAAAGCAAAATAATTCCTCAAAAACACATCAATCTTTAACAGTGAAATGTAAGATGTTCTTGATATTAGTGTATTCCAATTTCTTCTTACTACAGGTATAAGTGTCAACCTCTGAAAACTCCAATGAGTGAGATCTCTCTCATTTCACATTTCCAATGAGGGAGAAAGTGCATGAAATGCGACTGAAACTGCTTTGCGCAAATTATCTTTCCCATTTTATGTATCAAAATAACTCCAAAAAGCATTCATTTGATTCAGACACCTGTTATGATCATTACACACACCCTGCAGTAACTAGGATATTATTTGGCTACAGGATGTAGATTTTGAGTTTGTGCGAGTTTAGACTTGAGAGAGTGGGTTTCATGGGCGATTGGTAATTTTTTGTCAAAATGAGGAAGTCTCCCTTCTGATGAGGGAGGTTTGACAGCTATGTAGTCTGATCCTTCTAAACAAATCTTAAGCAGTGAAATGTAAGATATTCTTGATTTTGCTGTATTCAATCTTCCTTAACTACTGGTTAACGATTCACAACCTTTGAGCGACTTGGGCCAAATGGCATTAAATAAAGCTAGAACAGTAACTGCATTCAATCTAGTACACTAAATATAACAGCCCACCACTTGTATGGGATCTTCTGTGTACATCTGTCATACAGCATGTTGTGTATTTGTGGATATCTAGAGCTAAATGTATTAATGTATATGTGCATATATTATTCCCATGAATAGAACGAAAAAATATTGGGACGTATATTTAAATGCTTTCACTTTCTCCTTGGAACGAGAGAGAGTGTGTGGTATAGAGCTATTTATAACTATGGCTGTGGATTATTATATTATCAATAAAATCTCTATCAGATCAAGTTGACTTATGATTATATTTACCTTGTTTATCTTGTGTATATAGGCCAAGCATGTTTGTCTTACGTATGCATAAATGCATTCCAGAAAAAAAAATAGTCTTGGTCGACTGATGTGACGGCCATTACAGGTATCCAGCAAAAGGGTCTCTTAACAAGTAAACGAGACCATTTTGTAATAATTAGATATTATCTTGTAACAAAAGCACGAATCGGTTACATTATTGTACAGAAGGTCACATTGAACCTGGCAAGAAGTGTGTTTTGGTCTCTCTAGAAAAGATCAGGAAATTTACGCATTGGTAATGAGTTCTGAAATATATCTACGCATGAATATTTGCATGTGGAAATTTTCACACTATAGTTTACTTCACACACAAAATATGAGCATTTCCACATGGTAAAAGTTTCCATTTTCACAGTAGATATTAGTTCATGACCACTACCAGTAGTTCACAGATTGTTATAGACAAAATCAGGATGTCTTGTCATACACAACTGGTAATTCATTGAGTCATATTCTAGACAATAGGTAGTTGTCAATACCATGTTAAAGAATAGCTCATGATAATATTTAATTTCAGATTAATTCAAGATCATGATGTCCACCATTTTCCAAATCAAAGGGTGCCATTCCTGATACACATACTGTTCTTTACACCCTTGGAGTATGTCCTGACTAAATGCTGTTTACAACATCTCAAAGATGATACAATTAAACTAATGAGGACCTGTGATATCTCGATTAACAATAATAACAATTGCAGAGCAGCAAAGCCATAACTTAGATTGCCTTTGATTTGGGTGTAGCTGCTCCGTAATTTTTAAATGACATTGTCGTTAGCCTATCAATTGGTCAGTTTTTAGCTCACCTGGTCCGAAGGACAATGGTGAGCTTATGCCATAAACTTTTCCATTAAAATGCTTCTATACAGTCCTGAACAGCTTTAATGATTTTGTCCAAATTTGGCCTGGAGCATCCTGGGGCAAAGAGGACTCAATTTTAAAACAGAGGGTGTGGCCCCTTTCGGTGCTGAGGGGCGGGGCCCATTAGGTGAATTTGAGGTTTAAACCTTTAAAATCCTTCTGCTTCTCTACCATTTGAGGGATTTTATCCAAATTTTGCCTGGAGCATCCTAGGGCAAAGGGGACTCCATTTTGTATAAAAGGAGGGTGTGGCCTCTCAGGGTGCAGAGGGGTGGGGCCCAAAAGAGGAATTTGAGGTTAAAATCTTCAAAATCCTTCATCTTCTGTACCATTAGAAGGGTATTATCTAAAGTTGGCCTGAAGCATCCTTGGGTAAAGGGGACTTAATGTTGTATAAACTGAGGGTGTTGTCCCTGTGCCTGTGGGTGCAAAGAGGCGGGGTCCTAAAGGGGAATTTGAGGTTTAAATCTTTAAATTTATTCTCCTTCAGGAGTTATTTTAACCTAATTTGGTCCAGATCATCAATTTACAAGGGGTACTCAATTTGTTTTAACAGTGTAGTCTCCCTCGGAGGAAAGGTGAGGGGTCCAGTAGGGTGAACATGGTAATAAATATATAAAAACCTTCTCCTTCAGTTTATTTGGAGGGTTTTCACCAAATTTTGTGTAGATCATCCTTGGGCAAAGGGGACTAAATTTTGTATACATAGATGATTGCTTTTAAGGGGGCAGAGGGGCGGGCCAAAAAGGGGAAATTAAGGTTAATCAACCTCAATTCATGGGGCAGAAAGAAGAGACCTAATAACGGACGGATTTTGCTGAAAGATCGAGCCATTATTTGGTAATAGTTGCAGTATGTAACAAGAATGATGTCCGTGGTTGCTTTAATGTACATGCCCTCTGTGCCTCTGGTTTATCAGTTAGCCGTCATTTCATTAGTTTTGATTGCTATCGATATACTAACTTGTTACCAATATTTGGAAATAGTTGCAGTACGTAATAAGAATGATTTTTCATTTTAAATATTTTAAAATCTTCAAACGACTTCTTCTCAATAACCAAAAGGCACAGGATACTGATATTGGGCCTGTAGCCTGCTGGGATGAAGGACTGCCAAGTTTGTC